AAATTCTAAAATTTTCCAAGGAATAACGTGGTGATGACGTCATTGCCATAAAAGGAAAATTGCGTGGGTGTTGACGTCACTTCTATTCATAGAATGACGTCATTACCATAAAAGGAAAATTGCGTAGGCGGTGACATCACTTCCATTCAAAGAATGACGTCATTACCATAAAAGGATAATTGCGTAGGCATCATTGATAGTATAAATACACTTATTTTATTGGGTTAAATCATTCATTTTGTTTGCCAATCAGAAACAGTCAACTGAATTTTACTTCAAATTTTACATTTCGTTACTTCACGAAAAGTAAGTGTTTTCATTCATTTGGTACTTTAAACTTTTAATTTTGGAACATTTCTAAAGTCCCAATTTGTTTAGATAATGCCTGCCCTTAACCGAAACGAGAAGGTCAAATGTGAGGATTGTGGTCAGGAATACAGGAGATCTGATGCTGCGAGACATCAAAAAAGATGTGCTAAAGGAGTTGTTTCTTGTCCTGAATGTAAGTATTCCACTTACAATCAACAAGAAATGAACTATCATATGGTTAAGAAGCATGCTCAACCAAGTTCGAAGCAGTCGACGGTTTGTTCTTCTTCTGAACAAGAGTTCCCCAGTTACTACTCTCTCCAACAACATCGGAGAAAGGAACATGGAGCAAAACAACGGAAACCCAGTGATACGGTAGCCGACTTGAACAAGATTGTGGAGGAAAAAGGGGAAGATGGTGAAAAACTAAAGGAAGACCTAAGTGCTTGTCAACATTTTCTAGTGGATACGGAGATGGAAAATGGGAGAAATAAGGTATTTAACTTCCAAATGTCCAAGTTAGATACTAAAATCATTAACGAGAAACTTGAAGAAGTCTTCAACAAGCTCGATGCTGCTGCCAAAATCAACATTGCTCTGGGTTTTGTTCTTCAAAATATTGAGACTGGTGAATATCGATATTTCTACGCCCATGAAAACAATACTCTATTTGAAAAATTCCACTTACTTTGTACGAAAGCGGATTTGATAACAATCCAAGGAAAATAGGTAGAAAGGAAGATAGGTAGAAAGTAAAAGTATCTAACAAATTTTTATTAGATCAAATTAAACAAATCTTATCGTGTTTTGAATTTTTTCGAAAAATTTTTTTTGATAAAAATTCCAAGTTTTTGCACAAAATCTCTTACCATTGACTTACCATGCACCAAAAAACTAAATACATAACCTTTATTCTACAATCTACACGTAATTAACAATTAATTGTTCCCAATTAGGTATTGCGCGCCCAGATTTTTCTGAAAAAATTAGACATTTCCACACAAAAACCAAAAAAATTACGTTTTTCTTACCATTATCTTACCATCACACAAACCATAAAACCTTACCATCGGTATTCCCTACCTTAATACATTGTAGACTCTATACCACATCTTAATACATAGGTGGCTGACCGGATACTCTATAGCCTATTTTAATACATGGGGGTCAGCCACCTCCCCCCCTGATCAGCCTCAACATCTACTACTCATCATAATGGGCAGCACCAGTGTTTTGTATAGATTGAGTTTGCTTTTCACGGAAATGTGAGGGGAAATTCTCTTCATCATGAAGAACACTTTATTTGCTTTACTGCACTTTTCTTCAACATGAGCGTCCCAGTTCAAATTGTCAGCCCAAGTCTTTGTGCTCTTGTGCAAAAACAATTGGGGCACCTACAAAATGGCAGTCTCTCAGACTCAACGAGCGCGAGAAAGTCATCGCCACACATTTATCAACATTAAAACTTATCATGTTTAGTTGCGACCAATTGCAAATGTAGGAAAGATCTGTTTCTATCAGCACCTTGTTTGTATTTACACAAAGAAACTTAGCATCATCAGCACAAGGGTATGGCTCAAAGCACTGTAAAGAATCAGGCAAATCGTTGATAAAAATTAAAAACAAGAGGGTTCCTAACAAGCAGCCTTGCGGCACGCCACTGGCCACAGGTATGGAACTGGAAAACATCCCCCGTACTCGAACTTTTTGCGTTCTGTTGGATAGGTAGCTCTTGAGAAGCTTGAGCAGTTTGCCTCGTACTCCAAAATTATGCAATTTAGCAATAAGAATCTGATGATCAACATTATCGAACGCTTTCTCAAAATCTGTATAAATCTAGTCAACGTTGTGGCGACGATTCAAGTTTGAATAAACAGCGTCGATAAACTCCAGGAGCTGGGTATACAAGATCTTCTTTCCTGAATCCATACTGCCATGGATGCAGATGATGCCAAAAATGATCATAAAGTGCAACAAAAATACATCTCTCAAGAACTTTTGATGCGATTGGTAGAAGCGAGATTTGTCTGTAGTTTTTCACTTCTATTTTTGAATCTTTCTTAAGCACTGGGGCGACTACAGCTTCTTTCCGGGCGTCAGGATATATGCCAGCTTGCTTGATTTTATAAAAGAGAGTTTTCAAGGACTTCGCGACAGCGTTAGAGGTATGCTTGAATACTCTTGCAGGAATATTATCAGGTCCGGTTGCTTTTGTCACATCAAGATCACCAAGAACTTTGACCAAGAAATCTTCGTCAATAGCAAAATCATTGATGATGACGTCAGTTTTGTCGGGAAACGTTTGAATAGAACCACTGGGTTGGTTGAAAACAGTGGCAAAAAAAAGACATTGAAAAGCTCAACTTGTTCCGCAGAATCTGTTGCAGTGTCACTCAAGTACTTGATACTGGAAGGAATACTAATGCTTCGGAAAGAATTATAAATTTTGAAAAGTTTGTCAAAGGCTCTGCTGTCTGCGAGATCTTCTTCATAGTTGACTCGATCTTCGATTATTGCAGCGTCGCATTCTTTTTTCAGTCTCAATGTCGTGCAGTGCAGGGTGCCCTTTTGCTGATAAGCAGTCTCTAGTCGCTTTATCAGATTTGAAGTTGTTGGACTGATCCAAGGAGCATGACTGGATGTATGAGTTGTTCGCCTTGGAACACACTTGGCCAGGAGAGTGTCTATCCACTCGTACCTTTGCTTCACCAACATGTTCACATCCGACCAGCAGTAGGGAGAAAAAGGCGAATCATACATCAACTGACTCAAAAGTTCGTAGTTGGCAGAGCCAAAACTGTACATGGAAGTTTTTGCATCATGATCTTTGATACCTTTGTACTGCAGAAGAGAAACCAAGTCCAGAGTTGCAATGACTGGCAGGTGGTCAGACATACAGACATCAGTGGGGTATGTCATAGAGACCGAGAACTTCTCTTGAGTGGAGAAGTGATCGAGAGTGTTTCTCTTGCGTGTTGAGCTTCTGACTTGTTGTACCAAGTCAATACCTTCTGTTCGGAGTAGAAGTCATCTGATAAGCATGTAGACCTATTGATCAGTGGTAAATTAAAATCTCCACAAAACAACAGTTCATCAAAGCTGTACGATTCTTTCAGAGATCTGATTCGACTGAATACACTGGTTCATTGCTCTACAGAGACTCTGTAATCACTGTTCGTCGGTGGATTATAGCAGCAAACAACCAACAGCTTGCAGCCATTTACTACGGCGGTACATGAAACCAGGAAACCGTCATCAGTAACACTCAGAGTTTCTGCGAGAGCGTCCCGCCTCACTCCAATCAGAACACCACCATACCGAGAGATTTGACCTGCACTAGCGCGCTCTGACCTAAACAACTCATAATTGGGCAGGAATAGTTCAGCGTCATCGACTTGCTCGGTAAGCCATGTTTCTGTTAGACAAATTAAAATAATATTGCTCATTGCAACAAAGTTGGCGAACGTCACGCGCTTTTGTAGATTCAGGAGGCTTCTCACATTATATAAAAGACAGTTTATCACTGACGAGACTTGAAGCGATTTTCGCGGTCGTCACTTTTCGATATCAGCATCAGCAACTGTTACCCAATGTCCTTGGTCATTTGTTCTCAGAAGCTCATTGTCATTCAATAGGAGGGGGTTTCTTGGAACACCAGAGCTGATGAAATCTTTTCGGAGTTTCAACAGTTCGCATTCACGTCTGTACCCGACAGTGGACAGATCACGAGAAACATACACGTTTTTATAAAACTCAGAAGTTTTTAGTTTCACAAGAGAAGATAAGATGACCCGTTTGTCAATTTGCTACCTGAGAATTACTAGAAACGTTCGCGGCGGTCTGTTGATATCGTTGTTCCACATACCGAGTCTGTAGGCATCGCCGATCACTGGGTCTGTGCCAGTCAAAAAGTTCAAAGTTTTTTCACGGCAGCGAGATCTTCTTGGAACCTGAGGCCTTTCTCTTTGTTTTTGCTCTCTGGAATACCTCTTACGCGCAGAGCGAAAAGATTTGCATCTCTTTCAGTTTTCACAATTTCAGGCGCTTCAACGGCGGCTGCAGGCGCAGGCGTATTGAGCAATGTCTTTTCAACATTCCAAACTGAGCTCAAAACGGTTTCAATTTTTTCGGCTATTTTGTCAGTTCGTTCTTCGGGTTGAGCAGGTTTGTTGAGAAACAAGTCTCTCCTTCCTTGTTGATCACAATTGTTACAGAAAAGCAACACATTCTCTCTGACAGTTGAGAGAGCACTGAGAATAGTGTCTTCAAATCCAGTGCACTTTTTTGACCAATGCATAATGGATGAGCAACAGACACAGAGAAAGATTTCGCTGTCTTTCGTTGGATGCTTGCATGTTGAACAGTGTATTTCGTTGAATACGGAAGACCTCGTATTCATCGTTGCGAATGTTTTTTTTTGTTTGCTTTCCTTTTATTCGTGTTATAGAGAATAAATGAGACGCGATAAGCTGCAGGTTGGTGCACAATGTGGTCGATGTGCGTCGTTGGTCCAGCCTCTCCGTTAACAAGCTTCCTCCTCAGCCATTTAATATGAAACTGTTTAATCAATTTTTTTTGAGACTATCAATTTTTTTTTGAAATTTATGGAGACTGACAAGAAAAATCCCTTGTAATCTATTATTTTCTTTTTTTACTTTTTAAAATTTCAAACATTTCAGTTTTATTTAATATATCGATTTTTAATAGAAGTGTTCAAAACGAAATGTCTAGTCAATATAAGGATTCAAGTACTGATGATGCTCCAACGGTTTTGTCCCCTTTCTCAAAGTCGCCCACTTTTTCCCCTCGACCGGCACTGATCTCCCATTTTTGATTTGGGCGTGGAACTTCCAGGCAAACTGGAACATTTCTGGAGGAATATAGTCTCCTTCCGCCTCACTGAATTTCTCGATTCTTTCTAAATTTTCCACGTCAAATATGGCAATTCGTAATTTGAGGACCACCCTGGAAACTATGAGCTTGAGGGGGGTTCCTGATTTTACTGCCCCATTTTTGCCCCATTCAAAGATGGCTTTGTTGATTTCGGTTTCATCCACGTTGAGGTCGTCACAGTCCATTGCCTGTAAGAAAAGTAAAATCTATAGTAATGATACAATGTTTCCAAGTGAGGTCATTACACAAACAAAATTAGATGTAAGGAATTCCTGTACCAGGAATTTTTATTTTAGAAAAAGTACCATAAGACCAAATCTACAGCCGGAAGCAACTACTAGTTTAATCACGAGAAGGTATTTGCTGTGATTCCAACCTTGGCCCTTTTCAGCTGCCTACGCAAAATTTTAAGTTTGATCGTCGTTAACTAGAAAATCCAAAATGGGACTTAACAACTTGAACTTTGAAGTGTGACCAGGTCAGGCCAGATGGGTGAGGAAGAGTACTGCACTTCTGGTAAGAATTCCTTCTCTTCAGTAGGTAGGGTGATGGGTACTTATCTGCCGCACTTTTCAACAACTGTTTCTTTGCGGGGGGAGGGGGGGGGGGGTAGGGGTGTTCACTTTGGTTTTAAAGCTTTTGCATGTTTGGTAGTTTTAGATTCCAAAAAGTGTATTAAAAAATTTAATGCCACATAAAAAAACTATCGAAAGAAAAATATATAAGAATCGAACAGTGCGCAAAAGTTATTTTAAAAAGTTATCTCTTTTCGGGCATAAAAAGTGCAGAACATGTTGTTACCTTAATAAAAGCCTGTTCGCCCATCTCCAAGTAGCTCTTACTCTCTAAGAATTCATTGGCATTGTCAGCTATGAATGAGAGGCAATGCTGTTCTAGATGGGATACTTCGAAGTAGACAGCTGCGTGGAGAGCTGTGGCTGCGAACTCAGTGTCCAAGTTCTCAGTTATGTGTTCACACACGACTGCTTGCAGATCTGAAATAGACGCCAAAAGTGAAAGGAGTTTGCAAACTATGCAGAAAAAAGAGTGATTTTTTCAGAAGATCTGAAATCGAGCTGGAACTTAATGCCTAAATACTTCAAGTCCAAAGTTAGGGGCGGATTTTTTAAACTATATTTTTGATCTAACTACTGTTTTTCTTTAAAAATTTAAGAACTTTTACAGTTTGCAGTAAAATAATTGGCATGGCAGTACTCTCAGAAATACATTTTCTATCAAGATCTTTATCCATGCAACTAAAAACCCCCATTTCAGTAGAAAATTTTTTGATGATTCAAAATGATGTTTCCAAAATTTGAAGTTTCCAAAATAGTGATATTTCAATTTTGTTACTGATTCTCGTAAATAGGTCTCGAGCATATAACAGCATATATTACCTTGCAGTCCATACTCAATTGCTGTTCCCAATAAATCCATAGCCGAGTTCTGGCTGATCTGAACAGTGTTTGTGTACATGAAGTCTAACATCTGCTGGAAGGTCTCCGGGTTGACATCTGACAGCACTATAGGCACTTCAGGACGTGCGGCTGATTCTTGGAACAGTTTCTGCAGCAAGGCGCACCTAAAATCAAGGGGTTATTTGAAGTCGTTTTACAGACACCGCTCGATAAGCAGCTAGCTTTTTTGGCGTTCTTCCAGGATGGGCTTTAATAAAAATCTAACCAATTATAAAAATCTAGTCTAATCAAAATTATAGGCAAACTTTTCCCTTCTTTAAAACTAATTTATTATTTATATTATCAAAGAGATGTCCCTAAATTGCTTAATGCAAATCTCGCAGGAATTTTTTTTTAAATAGGATTTGTCCTTGTACTTCTTGTTAGGAATTTTGTAAGAGCTGAGTTTCAAGTAGATTTGAGGTTATTTACTTTAATGATTGAGCGTGTATCTTTATAAATCAAATGCTAACTTGGTCCAGAATTCCCGGGTTGACCTCCATAGACCAAAAATGCTAATCATACAATTCCATAACTAAATCTATGAAAAAATGCTAATCATACAAATTTCATACATTTTGCTAAAATGATGTCATCGAATTTTCAAACAATTTTTCTCTTGTTTTGGCATAAAATTCGTTGTATCGTACAAAGTAAAAAAGAAGAACTTTTTGTCGAAAAAAATGCTAATCATACAATTTCCATATATGAAAATTTATGACTAGCCTTTTTTTGATTGCGATTTATTATTTTGTGTGTATAACGTAGTCCTAGATATACTAATATTGGATTTTTTTTCCTTTTCTCTTCATAACTTTTGGTCAAAAACGCTTAAAACTCCTGTTTTTTTGTATGACATGTATTTGTATGCCTTGATCAATGTCTGGTAGTTTAAAAACTCGAACTTTAGAAATAATCATCTTTGAAAATTTTTGCTAAAACTTAAAAGTTCGTTAATTTCGTTATATTATTTGTGTGAGACAGAATTTAAATGTTTTAAGCTGTTTCCAAAGCATGCTTAATGCGAGACAGCCAAACCTTTGGTTTCTTTGTTTGGGTAACCAAGGTTTATGCCATTTGTGTTCGGTTACGAACACAACCAAGAAATTTTGAGAAATTAAAATGTAAAAAATCAATATTTTTGGTTTATGGAAAGATGCTAGTCATACAATTTCCATATATGAAAAAATACTAATCATAGACCTTTCATGCAACTTTCTACAATTTTCTATACCTTTGGAATTGCATGAAAAGTGTATGATTAGCATTTTTTCATATATGAAAATTGTATGACTAGCATTTTTGGTCAACCCGGGTTTTCAAATCAACGTAAATGAAAATTTCTTTGAGCAAACTCTTTAGCAAATAACGGGTAAAAAGTCATCAAAAAGGTTGCTGCAGCAAAGTATATGTCATTAAAATCTTGAAACGTCTTGCAAACTAAAAACTACTCGTGTGAAACATGTACAAAATAAAACAAGGATAGTCGGTTGCTGTGATAGTGGCACAGAATGTTCTGACTACATTTTCAGAGCTTTTTTTGCACTGAGTTAGTGTCTTTTTTGTACGTCGTGCAATGATACAAATATAAGAAGTTGCTTAGAAATTTTGTGATTTAGGCATAAACGAATCCAATGGTCTTCAAAAATAAATTTGAAAAATGAAAAAAATTTTCGAAAAATTTTAAATCTTTTTTTTTTCAATTTTTTTCTTGCACTCAAAATTTTAAATATTTTTGAAAGAAATTTATAGCCAGAGAAGCGCTAAAGGAAGTTTCCAAAAGTAATCTTCTTTATACTAAAATCAAGTTTCATATAACAAACGTTACTCGATCGCTTTACTCGCTCGAAAAAAGACGATAAGAGAATTTTTTTTTAAAACAGGGGCACAACAGCGGTTCGCCGTGATGAGCTGTACAGCTCTTGTGTTGGTCCTTTCCCCCGTGGATAAATGATCTTAAAATTTGTAAGTGTCGTTCAAATGACGACTAGAAAGGCTTTAACGTAATATATCACTCGACCATGTGCGATGATTTTTTGTGGCACCAAATTTTTTGCGTGGAAAGCAAAAAAAATGAAAAAAAGCAAAAGAAAAAGTTAACACACCCGGATACAAAAGTCCCCCCTTCTTTCAATGATCGGAACAAAAATATATTTAGGAAAAAAACTCCAGAACCCCCTCTCATTTTTTTTTTATGAATCCATCTTCTCTCTATCTCTCTCTCTCTCTCTCTCTCTCTCTCTCTCTTTCTCTCTTACCGGAGTCCGATGATGATCCTGTGCCCGTAGATGATCTTTTTCTGATCGCCCACCACAAACTTGACATCTGCAAACTCCTTACTGAACAAGCCCAACTTCATCTGAGCCGCAAACTTGTCAATCTTTCCACTCTTCACACACATGGAAGACATTATTCTGTAACAATCTGACGGTGTTTGTGATTGTAAACACTGATAATTTTCAGCTTCTGATTTAAATTTACAACTCGTAAAAAAGGAAAACTTTACTCTATAAAGTTTAGCAAAAACTTTAAGACCTCGAAAACTTAATATTAGTTGCTACAAATGGCTAGCACTCAAATGTTCTGCTTTCTTCGTGCATTATTGTATATATAATGTTTTATAATATGAAGTATGATTGTACAAATACTAAAACAGATGGTATCACACACAAAAAATGATTTTTGAATTAAATGATATAAAAAGAGTTTTTGTATGCTAGAATGTATTGTTTTTTTCTAGACAGGTATACATAGCATACTTCATAGTCATATTTTAATTTTCACTTTTTTCACAATGCGCAGTAAAAATTACGGCACGCAGATTTAATTTTGTATTCAAAAACAACCATATGCAAATTATATACGAAACCGGAGCAACTCTTTAAAAACGCTTTCAAAAAACATCTTTGCTTTTGGAGACGTTTTACTATTGATTTTTAGCATAACAATTAATAATTTAATGCCTTTAACCAAAAAGAGACCCCAAACCAGATAGACTGATCGTTGTACAAGCGCTCTAATTCCTAAAAATTAACGTTAAATTAGTTTCTTAAAACTATTGATCACAAAAAGCGACCTTCGTTTTCAAATATTGGCCCTTATTGTTCTTTATTATTTGAACTTTCATAATTTTTTAAAAGAAATTTGCAAAAGTTGAAGCAATAAGAGTTGAATTTTCTCAAAGAAACCAAAAAATGACCCAACCAGACTTCATGGTAGCCAAACCGACCGAAGCGCGGGCAAAATACTCGCTCATAGGCACAACACTGGACCCCACTCTCAAGGACGAAGATTGGATCAAAACAGAGTACGAGAGAGATGTGAAAAAACCGAAGGCCACTTTGCACGATTGTTACCACGATCCCTTTCTCAGAATGACTGCTTACAGGTAAAGTTGATTTTTTTTCACAGTTTAGTTAATTTTTATTTTCGACTGTGAACAGATTACTAATTTTTTAAGCAGTTTTGTGCCATCTTCAGAAAAATTTTCCGAAATTTTTTTTCTCTAGAGTCACCCATTATTTTTAAAACTGGAGGTACCGATTTTGAAAGAACAACGGAAAAAAGCAACTAATCATAGATAATTCGAAGTTTTTTTTGAAAAAGTTTTCAATAGAAGTCATTTGATGCCGGACAAGTAGCACCGATTGTAACATTTTTGTAGACCCTAGAATTAATTTTGTGATCTTTTGGATCTTTTTCTGGCAAAATGCATCTTTTGAACCACAACGCTCAACAATTTTGAAATTATAAAGAGGGTAAATTGAAACTTATTAAGCTCTAGCGAAGAAGCCAATTTGGTTTGAGATTTTTTTGATACTTTAAAAGTGTCGGTTGTTCAGTTTGAAATTGATAATTCTGCAGGCTGGAAGATACCCTACAGAAGTACAACCAAGCAGATAGATCTATCAGAGACAGAGAAAAGGAGGCTCTTTTCTTCTCAAACCAACAGTAAGTAAAACTATCATCTCATTTTTACTGTTTTTACCGCAAACCCCCTCAATCTTGGTTGCCATATTTTTTTGGGAGCAAATGTATTCAAAAATATCTGAAGGGAGAGTCGGCGGGGAAAAAAAACGCATTTTTTGTGAAAATTTTGGACTAATAATACTGGCAGTCTACGGTTTCGGTTGTGCACTTTCGAGGCGAAAAAATTCCTCAATTTTTTAAACGCACCCCTCTTTCGTAAAGTTCTTCTGCACACTACTGATTGTGCCGCTTCTTTTGCCTTCAAAATTTTAAGCTCAAAAATGCAAAATTGTTTTTGTGCAAATTTATTGTTTCCCAGAATTGAGCGTCTTCCGGGTAGCGAGAGACGGAGTCGCATGTTGCCAGTGAACTACAACAGATCAGAGATGAACGACAAGTACAATCAGGTTAGATTGGAAAAAAATTGTCACCTCTCTCTTTCAATTGTCTGATTTGAAGTTATTTTTATGAAAATGTTCACATTATATACAATATTAGATAGTTTGGATCACGGAAATCGATCAACCGATCAAAGTTTTTCAGGAACATCACCAGCGTTACGATTGTACAAATCTGCTACATTTAAAAGCGTTATTTTGAAAAAAACCAGCATCCTATATTTTTCTTAAATTAATCCACTTTTTGCACCAATTTACCAAACTTTACATCTTTTTTTTTATCAGTTTTCCTAAATTTGGGTCTTATTTTGATCAGTTTTCCTAAATTTGAGGGTTTTTTTTTCAAATGAACTTATGTGACATATTACTTTCAATCTGCTATCCTATAGAACTTGAAATTTTCTTATAACTTCAGTTTGTTATAAATTTCTGTGTGTTCTGCAGTACAACAGACTGCCCACTGGAGATGTGTATGAGATGAACAGGGTGGGTTTGAAGCCAGTGCAGGCAGACAGACTACCCACTGGCAACTACAACTACGCAAAGTACAGACCCAGGTCAGCATCTCCATCCCAGTTTCATTCAGTTCTCTAAGTAGCTTCAAAAGTCATTTTTATCTACTTTATTGTGGGTGCACTTTTAAGGAATAAAAGAAATATTCAGGAATAAAGGAGTTAGTTCGTTTTGTAAGGCCTTTTTTGGGGAGTTTTTTGGGGAGGTTTTTTGTATTTGATACATTTAGCCTCAAACAGCCACTGTTATTTGTTCAAAACCATTCAAATATTTTAACAGTCGAATATCAAATTAACAGTCAAATCCTCTAACTGAAGAATGTCCAAACGTTCGAATTAGCAAGTGGATATTGCAGTGGGACACACATTTCAAATTTTAACCTGGGCAGAGCGAGGCAACAGGAAAACTACTGTATACACGAGGGAAGTTCCAAACTCTTCAATTTGGGGTCAAAATGTTTGTGCGAAAAAACAGATCACATAATAAAAAAAACTAGCAAAAAGAATCGCAATTTTTTGCTTGAAGTGTTTTTTGAAATCAGCTACTACCATTAAAGTAACTTTTTTAGAACTCATTTCCTTCAATTTTTTGAATGCCGCGTTATATTATTCCTCACTTATATCTTTTGATTCTGTTGTAAGAAGAAGCTAGCAGCGTGTCCTGTTCGAACGACCAGCTCGAAACAAAAAATCTTTTGAGCGCAAAAGCACACATTCGGGAATTATTTTATTTTCGCTGATTAAAGGTAACACAAAACCCTAAAAAAATCAGAAAATTGTTTAGATCTCTTTAGCAAAGATCTCTTGTAATAATCTTGTCAGCGGATTCTTACGCAGTTAAACTGACTGGCGGTGATGAAATTATAAAAAACTTGCAATAAAAAAATAATAACTAACGATGCTGATGATGACAAAATAAACAAAAATATAGAAATTTTCCGTTTACGAAACCTCAAAAACGTTTTCTGAAAAGCTGCCGTAACACTAATAGAGAATTTGAATTGTTTCATACAATTATTTAAAACCAGTTCAAAAAAATCACAAGACCTGGAAAAGTATCTAAATGGAAAAGGCTGCGGCAAAAAAATTGTCTGAAACAATTTTATAATTGCATTGAAAACTTCAAAAATAGAAAAAAAAGTGTAAGAATCAGAGAAATTTTATAAAAAGTTTAACAAAAGCACTGTAAAAAAAGAATAGAAAGTATCAAATAATATACAGTTTATTGTAAACTCTGAATGACAAAAAAGTGGGAAAAGACTAGAAGTTAGGTTGCAACTTCCGAAATGACATTTTGGCGTTTTTTTTTTACAATGGTAGAAAAAAAGCAGCAAATTTAGTGATAGATAGCCAACGCGGAAGGAGCACAAACAGTCCAAGTATCTGATTTTTTTTCCAGTTGAATTTCTCAAGGTATTTGAGTCTATTAAAAGAAAATTCAGCACATGGCAACGAGAATAACAAAATTTATCAAGATTGTTTTGACATTGCGATCTTCGCAGATTGACTTAAGTTGGCTAAACTGATTCCAATCTAAAAAGAGGATCAATCAGCAGATCCCTTCAAAATTTAACAAACATTTTTACTGCTTGCGATAAGTAATGTAAACTCCTGGAAAGACTAAAATGCAAACAAATGCTGTCAATTTTAAAATAAATTTGGCCTCATTTTCAATCAATTTTTTTGTTATTAAATCAAGTAGAACAAAACTCAAGTCTCCGCAAAAATTTTCAGGGAAAAACAAATCACCACATATCTACATAAGAAATACGAGACAACTGAGCAAAACAATAGGTTTTGAGAAACACTTAGATGTTCTCGGTAGAAAAAAATCACAAAATTTAGCTGATCTTTTTTATGGGTTACGAAACTTTCTCTTGATCTAGCACCTTTCCAGAAGTTTTCCGTAACTTATAATAAATTTACTGTTTTGACTTACAAAACCACACAAAAACACAAGTAGATTTTCTGGACCAAAAATTGAAGCGTTACGAAAATTCTATTACAAGTTTTTTTTCTGCTTAGGAGCTCGAGGAGCTCTATTTGTTCAATTTAGTGAAAGTACTCTCTAAAAAATCAGATGTGGATTTAAACCAAAGTTTAATCAAAAATTCCTAGACTGTTAAACTCTCGATAACGAAGAGCTCGGAAGAAATTTTTCCATTTACTTAACTAACATCTGGAAAATTTCTTGCTAAAATTTACCTAAAATTGTAAAATCCACCTACAAATTGAAGTTTAATTACTGTACAAATGAATTTCAAACGTGAGAAAAAGATTTCGCACCCAATATTAAGAAAATTTTTGAATTACCTCTGTGAATCACCTATGCTTTAAATTACCTCTAGCCCCATTGCTGCTCTCTCAGGCTGTAAAAATGCCCGAAAAAATTTTCATTATGATATTCATGTGCGTGTCATAGCGTGCACAATTTTGACGAGTTTTGTCACTACCCATTAGAAAGTTAGAGATTATTTCGTGTTGTGCAGACATACTTCATGCACTAGAAATTTCTTTCATTCAAAACAAACGACAACTCACAAAGTTTTTTAAACACTGGCTAACATTTTTTAGGGTTATCGAAAGTTTTGTTGAAAAACATAAAATAATTAAAAATAAACAAAAATTTAAGCATTTGGACTCCTGAGAAAGATATGAAAACAATTTTTGAAATGAGAATATGTATATGTATATATATTTATATAGATGTAGTTATCTGAACAGATTATATTTGGGTTTTAAATCATTCGGTGTTAAATCATTTTCATCTCGCTTGTTATAGATTACAAAGTTATGTTTACAAAGGTAAATATGATTGGCGTTTATAGCGAAGGCACACATGCAATAGAACGATTGAAGAGCCAGAGTATTACATGAAGTCAAGATTTTCAAAAACATAAAAGAAACCAGGGGCGTATTTGTGGATGGGAACGGAGACGGGACCCCATTTTGATTTTATTTTAAGTCATTCATTTTTGGCTGAGGACTCTAAAACTTTTCTATTGGCGCATTTGGCGCCAATGTTTACTTATTTTGAGGGTGGAGAACGCGCCGACGAACGCGAAATTTTGGTCAAAATCTTCCAAAAAGTGCTTAAACAACTTTCCTGGCCTGTTTTCTTTTTAAATTTGGCCGCAGCGAAGAAAATTTGTCAAGTTAGGATCTTTGTAGTTATTTGGGAGAATCCGTCCCCTGTTTGAAACTATAACCAACTCTCGTTAATTAATTTAAGCTTTTAAATTCAACAATATAAGCACGGCAGAACTCAAAGTTACGAATTGGCTATAAAGCGTTTCTGAGGTGTGATATTTCAATTGCATTTTTTCTTCAGAGAGGCTAAATATCCGTTTGCCGAGAATGGCCTGATAGTGGAGAAGCCGAAAGAAAGGAGAGATGAGTCGACTGAGAGGAGCATGTCTAGATTCCCAAATGTGAGGGAACATATCATGAGGAACTTTACTGTCTACGATCCAAAGTGAGTCACCATGAGGGTTTTTGCTTTTTACAGTTTATTAGCGAGGAGGAGTTGAAGGCACGAGATTTCAAACTACACGGGGAAAATTATTCGTAAGGATTGCCAAGTCAAACCATTGAGAGATGCCATAACTGAATAGGAGATAAATGCAATATAAACAAAGAAAAAATCAAGTAAAAAATTAGCAATAGTTAGAAACAAACCAGAGGGTCGATTATACCTAAGCTTTGAAAAAATGAATGTTTTTGTAAACTTTTTCCACTTATGTCAGTTTTTTGAAAAAGGGAATCATTGATTCAAGTGACTAGTTTTATCATAATTTTTGAAAAACAACTGTAGTGGAGACCATGAATGACGTACTTATATTATGTTAGTACGTAAATAATTACTAATGTCAAGGTCATCGCTGTAGTAAGCGTGACCATCCCGTATCGCCGTTGGCGAGGGTGTTTAATTTAATTCAAGTTGAGTCTTCTACGTCTTATTATACGTTACGTTAGTATGCAACTACGAGGATGCTCCCATATGATTGAGCTACCGCAGCTTGTATGTATTTTGGCACAACTCATCGCAGGAACCCCCAGTACCACGGGAAGATGTGTCCCAACGCTTCCAATTGTTGGTAATAGCAAAAGAGGAGATAGACATAGAGGTTTTACTGGCAGAAAATGCTCTCGCACAAAATGTCTACCCGAAGATGTAAGAACGAGCAGGAACTGAAGATAACGCGGCACGAAATGAAAGAAAAGACCGCAATGATACAGGTTTTACAACCTGGAGCGACAAAGAGAACCTTCGAACAGACGCGAGAAGCGTCTAGACAGACGAGGATAAGGAAGTACCCGGGGTGAAGCCGACAAAAGACTGAAAACAAAACTGTTCCTATCTCTAGGGAAACACCGTCAAGGGTATTTCTATCGGAAACATTCGAGACAGAAGATTGTGGAAATCGATTTGATCGATTGTGGAAGCTAGTGGTGGATACATTCTAGAGAGCACCGAATGTTACAAACCGGCGATTCATTCTGTTTGGCGGGAAGCAAAGAGAAACAGAAGGAATAGATCAAAATTTTCGAGCGTTGAGTGATCTGACCCGGGGGCGTGATTTTCGAGCGTTGAGTGATCTGACCCGGGGGCGTGAAATAATTACTAATGTCAAGGTCATCGCTGTAGTAAGCGTGACCATCCCGTATCGCCGTTGGCGAGGGTGTTTAATTTAATTCAAGTTGAGTCTTCTACGTCTTATTATACGTTACGTTAGTATGCAACTACGAGGATGCTCCCATATGATTGAGCTACCACAGCTTGTATGTATTTTGGCACAACTCATCGCAGGAACCCCCAGTACCACGGGAAGATGTGTCCCAACGCTTCCAATTGTTGGTAATAGCAAAAGAGGAGATAGACATAGAGGTTTTACTGGCAGAAAATGCTCTCGCACAAAATGTCTACCCGAAGATGTAAGAACGAGCAGGAACTGAAGATAACGCGGCACGAAATGAAAGAAAAGACCGCAATGATACAGGTTTTACAACCTGGAGCGACAAAGAGAACCTTCGGACAGACGCGAGAAGCGTCTAGACAGACGAGGATAAGGAAGTACCCGGGGTGAAGCCGACAAAAGACTGAAAACAAAACTGTTCCTATCTCTAGGGAAACACCGTCAAGGGTATTTCTATCGGAAACATTCGAGACAGAAGATTGTGGGAATCGATTTGATCGATTGTGGAAGCTAGTGGTGGATACATTCTAGAGAGCACCAAATGTTACAAACCGGCGATTCATTCTGTTTGGCGGGAAGCAAAGAGAAACAGAAGGAATAGATCAAAATTTTCGAGCGTTGAGTGATCTGACCCGGGGGCGTGATTTTCGAGCGTTGAGTGATCTGACCCGGGGGCGTGAAATAATTACTAATGTCAAGGTCATCGCTGTAGTAAGCGTGACCATCCCGTATCGCCGTTGGCGAGGGTGTTTAATTTAATTCAAGTTGAGTCTTCTACGTCTTATTATACGTTACGTTAGTATGCAACTACGAGGATGCTCCCATATGATTGAGCTACCGCAGCTTGTATGTATTTTGGCACAACTCATCGCAGGAACCCCCAGTACCACGGGAAGATGTGTCCCAACGCTTCCAATTGTTGGTAATAGCAAAAGAGGAGATAGACATAGAGGTTTTACTGGCAGAAAATGCTCTCGCACAAAATGTCTACCCGAAGATGTAAGAACGAGCAGGAACTGAAGATAACGCGGCACGAAATGAAAGAAAAGACCGCAATGATACAGGTTTTACAACCTGGAGCGACAAAGAGAACCTTCGAACAGACGCGAGAAGCGTCTAGACAGACGAGGATAAGGAAGTACCCGGGGTGAAGCCGACAAAAGACTGAAAACAAAACTGTTCCTATCTCTAGGGAAACACCGTCAAGGGTATTTCTATCGGAAACATTCGAGACAGAAGATTGTGGAAATCGATTTGATCGATTGTGGAAGCTAGTGGTGGATACATTCTAGAGAGCACCGAATGTTACAAACCGGCGATTCATTCTGTTTGGCGGGAAGCAAAGAGAAACAGAAGGAATAGATCAAAATTTTCGAGCGTTGAGTGATCTGACCCGGGGGCGTGATTTTCGAGCGTTGACTGATCTGACCCGGGGGCGTGAAATAATTACTAATGTCAAGGTCATCGCTGTAGAAAGCGTGACCATCCCGTATCGCCGTTGGCGAGGGTGTTTAATTTAATTCAAGTTGAGTCTTCTACGTCTTATTATACGTTACGTTAGTATGCAACTACGAGGATGCTCCCATATGATTGAGCTACCGCAGCTTGTATGTATTTTGGCACAACTCATCGCAGGAACCCCCAGTACCACGGGAAGATGTGTCTCAACGCTTCCAATTGTTGGTAATAGCAAAAGAGGAGATAGACATAGAGGTTTTACTGGCAGAAAATGCTCTCGCACAAAATGTCTACCCGAAGATGTAAGAACGAGCAGGAACTTAAGATAACGCGGCACGAAATGAAAGAAAAGACTGCAATGATACAGGTTTTACAACCTGGAGCGACAAAGAGAACCTTCGGACAGACGCGAGAAGCGTCTAGACAGACGAGGATAAGGAAGTACCCGGGGTGAAGCCGACAAAAGACTGAAAACAAAACTGTTCCTATCTCTAGGGAAACACCGTCAAGGGTATTTCTATCGGAAACATTCGAGACAGAAGATTGTGGAAATCGATTTGATCGATTGTGGAAGCTAGTGGTGGATACATTCTAGAGAGCACCGAATGTTACAAACCGGCGATTCATTCTGTTTGGCGGGAAGCAAAGAGAAACAGAAGGAATAGATCAAAATTTTCGAACGTTGAGTGATCTGACCCGGGGGCGTGATTTTCGAGCGTTGAGTGATCTGACCCGGGGGCGTGAAATAATTACTAATGTCGAGGTCATCGCTGTAGTAAGCGTGACCATCCCGTATCGCCGTTGGCGAGGGTGTTTAATTTAATTCAAGTTGAGTCTTCTACGTCTTATTATACGTTACGTTAGTATGCAACTACGAGGATGCTCCCATATGATTGAGCTACCGCAGCTTGTATGTATTTTGGCACAACTCATCGCAGGAACCCCCAGTACCACGGGAAGATGTGTCCCAACGCTTCCAATTGTTGGTAATAGCAGAAGAGGAGATAGACATAGAGGTTTTACTGGCAGAAAATGCTCTCGCACAAAATGTCTACTCGAAGATGTAAGAACGAGCAGGAATTGAAGATAACGCGGCACGAAATGAAAGAAAAGACCGCAATGATACAGGTTTTACAACCTGGAGCGACAAAGAGAACCTTCGGACAGACGCGAGAAGCGTCTAGACAGACGAGGATAAGGAAGTACCCGGGGTGAAGCCGACAAAAGACTGAAAACAAAACTGTTCCTATCTCTAGGGAAACACCGTCAAGGGTATTTCTATCGGAAACATTCGAGACAGAAGATTGTGGAAATCGATTTGATCGATTGTGGAAGCTAGTGGTGGATACATTCTAGAGAGCACCGAATGTTACAAACCGGCGATTCATTCTGTTTGGCGGGAAGCAAAGAGAAACAGAAGGAATAGATCAAAATTTTCGAGCGTTGAGTGATCTGACCCGGGGGCGTGATTTTCGAGCGTTGAGTGATCTGACCCGGGGGCGTGAAATAATTACTAATGTCAAGGTCATCGCTGTAGTAAGCGTGACCATCCCGTATCGCCGTTGGAGAGGGTGTTTAATTTAATTCAAGTTGAGTCTTCTACGTCTTATTATACGTTACGTTAGTATGCAACTACGAGGATGCTCCCATATGATTGAGCTACCGCAGCTTGTATGTATTTTGGCACAACTCATCGCAGGAACCCCCAGTACCACGGGAAGATGTGTCCCAACGCTTCCAATTGTTGGTAATAGCAAAAGAGGAGATAGACATAGAGGTTTTACTGGCAGAAAATGCTCTCGCACAAAATGTCTACCCGAAGATGTAAGAACGAGCAGGAACTGAAGATAACGCGGCACGAAATGAAAGAAAAGACCGCAATGATACAAGTTTTACAACCTGGAGCGACAAAGAGAACCTTCGGACAGACGCGAGAAGCGTCTAGACAGACGAGGATAAGGAAATACCCGGGCTGAAGCCGACAAAAGACTGAAAACAAAACTGTTCCTATCTCTAGGGAAACACCGTCAAGGGTATTTCTATCGGAAACATTCGAGACAGAAGATTGTGGAAATCGATTTGATCGATTGTGGAAGCTAGTGGTGGATACATTCTAGAGAGCACCGAATGTTACAAACCTGCGATTCATTCTGTTTGGCGGGAAGCAAAGAGAAACGGAAGGAATAGATCAAAATTTTCAAGGGTTGAGTGATCTGACCCGGGGGCGTGATTTTCGAGCGTTGAGTGATCTGACCCGGGGGCGTGAAATAATTACTAATGTCAAGGTCATCGCTGTAGTAAGCGTGACCATCCCGTATCGCCGTTGGTGAGGGTGTTTAATTTAATTCAAGTTGAGTCTTCTACGTCTTATTATACGTTACGTTAGTATGCAACTACGAGGATGCTCCCATATGATTGAGCTACCGCAGCTTGTATGCATTTTGGCACAACTCATCGCAGGAACCCCCAGTACCACGGGAAGATGTGTCCCAACGCTTCCAATTGTTGGTAATAGCAAAAGAGGAGATAGACATAGAGGTTTTACGGGCAGAAAATGCTCTCGCACAAAATGTCTACCCGAAGATGTAAGAACGAGCAGGAACTGAAGATAACGCGGCACGAAATGAAAGAAAAGACCGCAATGATACAGGTTTTACAACCTGGAGCGACAAAGAGAACCTTCGGACAGACGCGAGAAGCGTCTAGACAGACGAGGATAAGGAAGTACCCGGGGTGAAGCCGACAAAAGACTGAAAGCAAAACTGTTCCTATCTCTAGGGAAACACCGTCAAGGGTATTTCTATCGGAAACATTCGAGACAGAAGATTGTTGAAATCGATTTGATCGTTTGTGGAAGCTAGTGGTGGATACATTCTAGAGAGCACCGAATGTTACAAACCGGCGATTCATTCTGTTTGGCGGGAAGCAAAGAGAAACAGAAGGAATAATTCAAAATTTTCAAGGGTTGAGTGATCTGACCCGGGGGCGTGATTTTCGAGCGTTGAGTGATCTGACCCGGGGGCGTGAAATAATTACTAATGTCAAGGTCATCGCTGTAGTAAGCGTGACCATCCCGTATCGCCGTTGGCGAGGGTGTTTAATTTAATTCAAGTTGAGTCTTCTACGTCTAAAACTCTTCTATTGGCGCATTTGGCGCCAATGTTTACTTATTTTGAGGATGGAGAACGCGCTGACGAACGCGACATTTTGGTCAAAATCTTCCAAAAAGTGCTTAAACAACTTTCCTGGCCTGTTTTCTTTTTAAATTTGGCCGCAGCGAAGAAAATTTGTCAAGTTAGGATCTTTGTAGTTATTTGGGAGAATCCGTCCCCTGTTTGAAACTATAACCAACTCTCGTTAATTAATTTAAGCTTTTAAATTCAACAATATAAGCACGGCAGAACTCAAAGTTACGAATTGGCTATAAAGCGTTTCTGAGGTGTGATATTTCAATTGCATTTTTTCTTCAGAGAGGCTAAATATCCGTTTGCCGAGAATGGCCTGATAGTGGAGTAGCCGAAAGAAAGGAGAGATGAGTCGACTGAGAGGAGCATGTCTAGATTCCCAAATGTGAGGGAACATATCATGAGGAACTTTAATGTCTACGATCCAAAGTGAGTCACCATGAGGGTTTTTGCTTTTTACAGTTTATTAGCGAGGAGGAGTTGAAGGCACGAGATTTCAAACTACACGGGGAAAATTATTCGTAAGGATTGCCAAGTCAAACAATTGAGAGATGCCATAACTGAATAGGAGATAAATGCAATATAAACAAAGAAAAAATCAAGTAAAAAATTAGCAATAGTTAGAAACAAACCAGAGGGTCGATTATAACTAAGCTTTGAAAAAATGAATGTTTTTGTAAACTTTTTCCACTTATGTCAGTTTTTTGAAAAAGGGAATCATTGATTCAAGTGACTAGTTTTATCATAATTTTTGAAAAACAACTGTAGTGGAGACCATGAATGACGTACTTATATTATGTTAGTACGTAAATAATTACTAATGTCAAGGTCATCGCTGTAGTAAGCGTGACCATCCCGTATCGCCGTTGGCGAGGGTGTTTAATTTAATTCAAGTTGAGTCTTCTACGTTTTATTATACGTTACGTTAGTATGCAACTACGAGGATGCTCCCATATGATTGAGCTACCGCAGCTTGTATGTATTTTGGCACAACTCATCGCAGGAACCCCCAGTACCACGGGAAGATGTGTCCCAACGCTTCCAATTGTTGGTAATAGCAAAAGAGGAGATAGACATAGAGGTTTTACGGGCAGAAAATGCTCTCGCACAAAATGTCTACCCGAAGATGTAAGAACGAGCAGGAACTGAAGATAACGCGGCACGAAATGAAAGAAAAGACCGCAATGATACAGGTTTTACAACCTGGAGCGACAAAGAGAACCTTCGGACAGACGCGAGAAGCGTCTAGACAGACGAGGATAAGGAAGTACCCGGGGTGAAGCCGACAAAAGACTGAAAACAAAACTGTTCCTATCTCTAGGGAAACACCGTCAAGGGTATTTCTATCGGAAACATTCGAGACAGAAGATTGTGGAAATCGATTTGATCGATTGTGGAAGCTAGTGGTGGATACATTCTAGAGAGCACCGAATGTTACAAACCTGCGATTCATTCTGTTTGGCGGGAAGCAAAGAGAAACGGAAGGAATAGATCAAAATTTTCAAGGGTTGAGTGATCTGACCCGGGGGCGTGATTTTCGAGCGTTGAGTGATCTGACCCGGGGGCGTGAAATAATTACTAATGTCAAGGTCATCGCTGTAGTAAGCGTGACCATCCCGTATCGCCGTTGGCGAGGGTGTTTAATTTAATTCAAGTTGAGTCTTCTACGTCTTATTATACGTTACGTTAGTATGCAACTACGAGGATGCTCCCATATGATTGAGCTACCGCAGCTTGTATGCATTTTGGCACAACTCATCGCAGGAACCCCCAGTACCACGGGAAGATGTGTCCCAACGCTTCCAATTGTTGGTAATAGCAAAAGAGGAGATAGACATAGAGGTTTTACTGGCAGAAAATGCTCTCGCACAAAATGTCTACCCGAAGATGTAAGAACGAGCAGGAACTGAAGATAACGCGGCACGAAATGAAAGAAAAGACCGCAATGATACAGGTTTTACAACCTGGAGCGACAAAGAGAACCTTCGGACAGACGCGAGAAGCGTCTAGACAGACGAGGATAAGGAAGTACCCGGGGTGAAGCAGACAAAAGACTGAAAGCAAAACTGTTCCTATCTCTAGGGAAACACCGTCAAGGGTATTTCTATCGGAAACATTCGAGACAGAAGATTGTTGAAATCGATTTGATCGATTGTGGAAGCTAGTGGTGGATACATTCTAGAGAGCACCGAATGTTACAAACCGGCGATTCATTCTGTTTGGCGGGAAGCAAAGAGAAACAGAAGGAATAATTCAAAATTTTCAAGGGTTGAGTGATCTGACCCGGGGGCGTGATTTTCGAGCGTTGAGTGATCTGACCCGGGGGCGTGAAATAATTACTAATGTCAAGGTCATCGCTGTAGTAAGCGTGACCATCCCGTATCGCCGTTGGCGAGGGTGTTTAATTTAATTCAAGTTGAGTCTTCTACGTCTAAAACTTTTCTATTGGCGCATTTGGCGCCAATGTTTACTTATTTTGAGGGTGGAGAACGCGCCGACGAACGCGAAATTTTGGTCAAAATCTTCCAAAAAGTGCTTAAACAACTTTCCTGGCCTGTTTTCTTTTTAAATTTGGCCGCAGCGAAGAAAATTTGTCAAGTTAGGATCTTTGTAGTTATTTGGGAGAATCCGTCCCCTGTTTGAAACTATAACCAACTCTCGTTAATTAATTCAAGCTTTTAAATTCAACAATATAAGCACGGCAGAACTCAAAGTTACGAATTGGCTATAAAGCGTTTCTGAGGTGTGATATTTCAATTGCATTTTTTCTTCAGAGAGGCTAAATATCCGTTTGCCGAGAATGGCCTGATAGTGGAGTAGCCGAAAGAAAGGAGAGATGAGTCGACTGAGAGGAGCATGTCTAGATTCCCAAATGTGAGGGAACATATCATGAGGAACTTTACTGTCTACGATCCAAAGTGAGTCACCATGAGGGTTTTTGCTTTTTACAGTTTATTAGCGAGGAGGAGTTGAAGGCACGAGATTTCAAACTACACGGGGAAAATTATTCGTAAGGATTGCCAAGTCAAACAATTGAGAGATGCCATAACTGAATAGGAGATAAATGCAATATAAACAAAGAAAAAATCAAGTAAAAAATTAGCAATAGTTAGAAACAAACCAGAGGGTCGATTATAACTAAGCTTTGAAAAAATGAATGTTTTTGTAAACTTTTTCCACTTATGTCAGTTTTTTGAAAAAGGGAATCATTGATTCAAGTGACTAGTTTTATCATAATTTTTGAAAAACAACTGTAGTGGAGACCATGAATGACGTACTTATATTATGTTAGTACGTAAATAATTACTGATGTCAAGGTCATCGCTGTAGTAAGCGTGACCATCCCGTATCGCCGTTGGCGAGGGTGTTTAATTTAATTCAAGTTGAGTCTTCTACGTTTTATTATACGTTACGTTAGTATGCAACTACGAGGATGCTCCCATATGATTGAGCTACCGCAGCTTGTATGTATTTTGGCACAACTCATCGCAGGAACCCCCAGTACCACGGGAAGATGTGTCCCAACGCTTCCAATTGTTGGTAATAGCAAAAGAGGAGATAGACATAGAGGTTTTACTGGCAGAAAATGCTCTCGCACAAAATGTCTACCCGAAGATGTAAGAACGAGCAGGAACTGAAGATAACGCGGCACGAAATGAAAGAAAAGACCGCAATGATACAGGTTTTACAACCTGGAGCGACAAAGAGAACCTTCGGATAGACGCGAGAAGCGTCTAGACAGACGAGGATAAGGAAGTACCCGGGGTGAAGCCGACAAAAGACTGAAAACAAAACTGTTCCTATCTCTAGGGAAACACCGTCAAGGGTATTTCTATCGGAAACATTCGAGACAGAAGATTGTGGAAATCGATTTGATCGATTGTGGAAGCTAGTGGTGGATACATTCTAGAGAGCACCGAATGTTACAAACCGGCGATTCATTCTGTTTGGCGGGAAGCAAAGAGAAACAGAAGGAATAGATCAAAATTTTCGAGCGTTGAGTGATCTGACCCGGGGGCGTGATTTTCGAGCGTTGACTGATCTGACCCGGGAGCGTGAAATAATTACTAATGTCAAGGTCATCGCTGTAGAAAGCGTGACCATCCCGTATCGCCGTTGGCGAGGGTGTTTAATTTAATTCAAGTTGAGTCTTCTACGTCTTATTATACGTTACGTTAGTATGCAACTACGAGGATGCTCCCATATGATTGAGCTACCGCAGCTTGTATGTATTTTGGCACAACTCATCGCAGGAACCCCAGTACCACGGGAAGATGTGTCCCAACGCTTCCAATTGTTGGTAATAGCAGAAGAGGAGATAGACATAGAGGTTTTACTGGCAGAAAATGCTCTCGCACAAAATGTCTACTCGAAGATGTAAGAACGAGCAGGAACTGAAGATAACGCGGCACGAAATGAAAGAAAAGACCGCAATGATACAGGTTTTACAACCTGGAGCGACAAAGAGAACCTTCGGACAGACGCGAGAAGCGTCTAGACAGACGAAGATAAGGAAGTACCCGGGGTGAAGCCGACAAAAGACTGAAAACAAAACTGTTCCTATCTCTAGGGAAACACCGTCAAGGGTATTTCTATCGGAAACATTCGAGACAGAAGATTGTGGAAATTGATTTGATCGATTGTGGAAGCTAGTGGTGGATACATTCTAGAGAGCACCGAATGTTACAAACCGGCGATTCATTCTGTTTGGCGGGAAGCAAAGAGAAACAGAAGGAATAGATCAAAATTTTCGAGCATTGAGTGATCTGACCCGGGGGCGTGATTTTCGAGCGTTGAGTGATCTGACCCGGGGGCGTGAAATAATTACTAATGTCAAGGTCATCGCTGTAGTAAGCGTGACCATCCCGTATCGCCGTTGGCGAGGGTGTTTAATTTAATTCAAGTTGAGTCTTCTACGTCTTATTATACGTTACGTTAGTATGCAACTACGAGGATGCTCCCATATGATTGAGCTACCGCAGCTTGTATGTATTTTGGCACAACTCATCGCAGGAACCCCCAGTACCACGGGAAGATGTGTCCCAACGCTTCCAATTGTTGGTAATAGCAAAAGAGGAGATAGACATAGAGGTTTTACTGGCAGAAAATGCTCTCGCACAAAATGTCTACCCGAAGATGTAAGAACGAGCAGGAACTGAAGATAACGCGGCACGAAATGAAAGAAAAGACCGCAATGATACAGGTTTTACAACCTGGAGCGACAAAGAGAACCTTCGGACAGACGCGAGAAGCGTCTAGACAGACGAGGATAAGGAAGTACCCGGGGTGAAGCCGACAAAAGACTGAAAACAAAACTGTTCCTATCTCTAGGGAAACACCGTCAAGGGTATTTCTATCGGAAACATTGGAGACAGAAGATTGTGGAAATCGATTTGATCGATTGTGGAAGCTAGTGGTGGATACATTCTAGAGAGCACCAAATGTTACAAACCGGCGATTCATTCTGTTTGGCGGGAAGCAAAGAGAAACAGAAGGAATAGATCAAAATTTTCGAGCGTTGAGTGATTTGACCCGGGGGCGTGATTTTCGAGCGTTGACTGATCTGACCTGGGGGCGTGAAATAATTACTAATGTCAAGGTCATCGCTGTAGAAAGCGTGACCATCCCGTATCGCCGTTGGCGAGGGTGTTTAATTTAATTCAAGTTGAGTCTTCTACGTCTTATTATACGTTACGTTAGTGTGCAACTACGAGGATGCTCCCATATGATTGAGCTACCGCAGCTTGTATGTATTTTGGCACAACTCATCGCAGGAACCCCCAGTACCACGGGAAGATGTGTCCCAACGCTTCCAATTGTTGGTAATAGCAAAAGAGGAGATAGACATAGAGGTTTTACTGGCAGAAAATGCTCTCGCACAAAATGTCTACCCGAAGATGTAAGAACGAGCAGGAACTGAAGATAACGCGGCACGAAATGAAAGAAAAGACCGCAATGATACAGGTTTTACAACCTGGAGCGACAAAGAGAACCTTCGGACAGACGCGAGAAGCGTCTAGACAGACGAGGATAAGGAAGTACCCGGGGTGAAGCCGACAAAAGACTGAAAACAAAACTGTTCCTATCTCTAGGGAAACACCGTCAAGGGTATTTCTATCGGAAACATTCGAGACAGAAGATTGTGGAAATCGATTTGATCGATTGTGGAAGCTAGTGGTGGATACATTCTAGAGAGCACCGAATGTTACAAACCGGCGATTCATTCTGTTTGGCGGGAAGCAAAGAGAAACAGAAGGAATAGATCAAAATTTTCGAGCGTTGAGTGATCTGACCCGGGGGCGTGATTTTCGAGCGTTGACTGATCTGACCCGGGAGCGTGAAATAATTACTAATGTCAAGGTCATCGCTGTAGAAAGCGTGACCATCCCGTATCGCCGTTGGCGAGGGTGTTTAATTTAATTCAAGTTGAGTCTTCTACGTCTTATTATACGTTACGTTAGTATGCAACTACGAGGATGCTCCCATATGATTGAGCTACCGCAGCTTGTATGCATTTTGGCACAACTCATCGCAGGAACCCCCAGTACCACGGGAAGATGTGTCCCAACGCTTCCAATTGTTGGTAATAGCAAAAGAGGAGATAGACATAGAGGTTTTACTGGCAGAAAATGCTCTCGCACACAATGTCTACCCGAAGATGTAAGAACGAGCAGGAACTGAAGATAACGCGGCACGAAATGAAAGAAAAGACCGCAATGATACAGGTTTTACAACCTGGAGCGACAAAGAGAACCTTCGGACAGACGCGAGAAGCGTCTAGACAGACGAGGATAAGGAAGTACCCGGGGTGAAGCCGACAAAAGACTGAAAACAAAACTGTTCCTATCTCTAGGGAAACACCGTCAAGGGTATTTCTATCGGAAACATTCGAGACAGAAGATTGTGGAAATCGATTTGATCGATTGTGGAAGCTAGTGGTGGATACATTCTAGAGAGCACCAAATGTTACAAACCGGCGATTCATTCTGTTTGGCGGGAAGCAAAGAGAAACAGAAGGAATAGATCAAAATTTTCGAGCGTTGAGTGATCTGACCCGGGGGCGTGATTTTCGAGCGTTGACTGATCTGACCCGGGAGCGTGAAATAATTACTAATGTCAAGGTCATCGCTGTAGAAAGCGTGACCATCCCGTATCGCCGTTGGCGAGGGTGTTTAATTTAATTCAAGTTGAGTCTTCTACGTCTTATTATACGTTACGTTAGTATGCAACTACGAGGATGCTCCCATATGATTGAGCTACCGCAGCTTGTATGCATTTTGGCACAACTCATCGCAGGAACCCCCAGTACCACGGGAAGATGTGTCCCAACGCTTCCAATTGTTGGTAATAGCAAAAGAGGAGATAGACATAGAGGTTTTACTGGCAGAAAATGCTCTCGCACACAATGTCTACCCGAAGATGTAAGAACGAGCAGGAACTGAAGATAACGCGGCACGAAATGAAAGAGAAGACCGCAATGATACAGGTTTTACAACCTGGAGCGACAAAGAGAACCTTCGGACAGACGCGAGAAGCGTCTAGACAGACGAGGATAAGGAAGTACCCGGGGTGAAGCCGACAAAAGACTGAAAACAAAACTGTTCCTATCTCTAGGGAAACACCGTCAAGGGTATTTCTATCGGAAACATTCGAGACAGAAGATTGTGGAAATCGATTTGATCGATTGTGGAAGCTAGTGGTGGATACATTCTAGAGAGCACCGAATGTTACAAACCGGCGATTCATTCTGTTTGGCGGGAAGCAAAGAGAAACAGAAGGAATAGATCAAAATTTTCGAGCGTTGAGTGATCTGACCCGGGGGCGTGATTTTCGAGCGTTGACTGATCTGACCCGGGAGCGTGAAATAATTACTAATGTCAAGGTCATCGCTGTAGAAAGCGTGACCATCCCGTATCGC